GGACCCCCGCACAGTAACGGACATTCACATACTTATTTTCTTTGGCTGTAAGGGGCACATGCCGTCAACGTGTTTGGGTGCCAACTGAGCACAAAAATGCCATTTTAAAGACAAAAAAAAAAGGCAGAGAAAGATTAGCCGTACAGGAGATGAGTCAGCGGAGGCGTCATCTGGTTTTTAACTGCAGGGGAGCTTTGAGTTTTCCCTCGACGGGGACGGCTCGTTCTGTCTCAGACCGCCTTTTACAGCCACTATATTTAAAACTCCCAGCCAAGACTAGCATGCTAGCCCCGGCTAGGGACAGGGCATTCTGGGAAATGTTGTTCATTTCTGTGCCTGAGATGGAAATTGGTTCAGAAACTACATCATTTTACTGTCTCGAGAGGGAAACTTTTTTCCACTTTATGCCATCAGATGCTCTGTGACCCTAGGGATGTCCCAATCCAGCTTTTTTCACTTCCAATCCGATCCCGATCCCTGCCCATCAGAGCATGTATTAAAGTTTAAATGTATTTATCTACTTACTTAGTTGTCAGACTCATGTTGAACAGGAATTTACTCTGATAACAACTTAATGGTTAGGACACAGACCTGTGGGTCAGGAGACGCTAATGCTAATCGTATATTTCTTTAAAAATGGATCTGGAGTCTGGATCTGCATTTTCTCCTGTCGGCCGATATGCATTTTTTTGCAAATATCGACAGCCGATCCGATCCAGATATCGGATTGGGACGAGCCTAGTCGACACAGCCACATTTGGTAAAGATCAGTACAAGAAAATCCCACGAGAACCAGCCGATAACCGTCCCTGCACGCCTGAACTCGGACCGTGTAAAGATGGCTGACCAGTAGGTAGTTTTTATGAAGGTGGCCTCAAAGCCGTATCGCACATGTGCAAAGTTGCTCAGTGTTTCTTTCTGATTTATACCAGAAAGTGTCTGCTGACGTGAGGGAGACGTGCGGCTGTTCACCCTCAATAAAGCCCATACCTAGGTCTGCGCCCCTCTGGACTAGGGACGTCCGAATCCAGCTTTTTGCACCGATCCCGGCCTATCAGAGCATGTATTAAAGTTATTTATCTACTTACTTAGTTGTCAGACTCATGTTGAACAGGGATTTACTCTGATAACAACTTAATGTTTAGGACACAGACCTGTGGGTCAGGAGATGCTAATGCTAATGCTAATGCTCATGTGGGATCGGACTTTAAAAAAAACTGGATCTGGAGTCTGGATCTGCATTTCCTCCTGCCGGCCGATGCGCATTTTTTTTGCAAATATCGACAGCCGATCCGATCCAGATATCGGATTGGGACCAGCCTAGTCAACGCATCCACATTTGGTAAAGATCTATACAAGAAATTTCAACAAGAACCAGCCGATAACCATCCCTGCACGCCTGAACTCGGACCGTGTAAAGATGGCTGACCAGTAGGTAGTTTTTATGAAGATGGCCATAAAGCCGTATCGCACGTTTGCAAAGTGGTTCAGTGCCTCTTTCTGTTTTATACCAGAAAGTGTCTGCTGACGTGCGGCTGTTGACCCTCAATAAAGCCCATACCTGGGTCTGCGCGCCTCTGGACTAGGGACGTCCCCATCCAGCTTTTAGCACCGATCCCGGCCTATCAGAGCATGTACTAAAGTTTAAAGTTATTTATTTTACTTACTTAGTTGTCAGACTCATGTTGAACAGGGATTTACTCTGATAACAACTAGCAGCTGAATTAGGGGAGTTTGAATAACACACACTGGTTGGTAAAGAGACACTGAACTGTTTACTCGGAGATAAACACAAAATAGACTAAATTATAAATAACAAACGGAAACGGCATCAGTGAACAGTAAAAAGTGCAAATAATATTGTAAACTGTATTAAAAAGGCAAAACACACAAACAACCTGAATAGAAAATTGTCTATTAACTCTGTTTTACGTCCACCTCTTCGTTTTTTTTCTTCCTTAACGATAAAATAATCCCACACAACTGACAATTTTACCGACAGCTTCAAATGAACATGGCCGTCTTAGTGGTTAGGACACAGACCTGTGGGTCAGGAGATGCTAATGCTAATGCTAATGCTTAAGGATGTGCTGGAAAATGCCCGGACCAGATATTAGGGAACAACACAGCAAAGGGGAATGGATCATTTTAATCAGGGCTTTAAAAAAAATGGATCTTGAGTCTGGATCTGCATTTTCTCCTGCCGGCCGATCTTTTTGAAAATATCGGCTGATCAGATCCAGATATCGGATCGGGACCAGCCTAGTCTGGCCCAGTAGTCCGGTTTCCCCCCAACAAAGAGCTCCGGGGGTCGCAGGCCATTTTTACCCCGGCTGTAAATCAGCGGGGACATGAGGCCCTTTTACGTCTGAATGTGGGATGCTGGCTCTCAGGTCAGCAAACCTCTCACATTTAGGTCCGTTTACAGCTGGATCAGCCTCTGGTGTAAACCGGGACTCATTAAGTGCTCCAACTAATAATCGACATGAGAGGGCTGTAAAACACTG